CAGGTTGAAATCTAAGTTCCTTGATATCCAAGAAGCCAAAGAAGATGGTGTAAGACAAATCAACATTCAATACCTTCAGGTTATTAGGCTCTGCATCAGAACATCAGAAAAATTACATTGGGGAAGTTTAAGCCATTTAGAAAAATCCTGTGATCATCAGTGGTTAGAAGGTGCTTTGAGTAGTTTTCAGTCCTGGCTCAGGGGGGAGGTGAAGCTCATATTTCTGTTTTGCTCTTGCTCAAGGAAATAAAGATACTAAATGTGACTCTGAGGGAAAGCTTCGTGTTCCTCACAGCACGCAATAGTAGTCTGTGGGCTAGGGCAAGCTGGACACCACTGTTTTAAAAGTTAAGAGTAAATTCAGCTGGTGAAATTACCCTGCACCAGTGGCCCCATGAAGAACATCGCCATAAGATTTACCTTTACCTGACTGTCTACAGAGGACCATGAACCAGACACCCAACGTGAAAGAGCAATGGTGTTGCAAGAGTGGCCACACTGCCTGTCTACATGTCCAGCATCTCTGGTTCTCCTTCAGTGGCTGCTCCTACCAGGGCATTTTTCAGCCTTTATCATAAGGCTGCAAAGAGCTGTGACAGATGGGCACGTTGGTGTGACTCTGGAGAGGAGAGGAGGAGGCAGGATATGTTGATGCAGCACTGGAGGTCCATCTTCAGGGCACATCAGGGGATCCAGGTCCTCCAAAGGTTCCTGCTAGGCTGGCACGTTGCTGCTTCATTGCTGCAGAGGAAGGAGACAGGGGCTGTCTTCAGGTGGTGGCAGACTCACTCACAGCACTTACAGCTCATCCTTTCACACATCCTACACCAAAGCCTGCTGTAACAATCCTGCTTTATTGGGTTGAGCGCTGAGTAAGGTTCAGTGTGTAATGGTGTGCAGTTTCCTTTTCTTCTGAGAGTGAAACTTAGCTCCCTGCAGTAATTAGCCCGTCCCCAAAGGCCTATCTAGGACTTCTATGAGGGTTTTACAATTATATAGACCTTTTCTGCCTCTGCAGAGGGCTTGACATTTGCTGTCAATTAATGTGATACAGCTCAGCTTGTCCAGTAACTGGATTAAAGACTTGTTGAAACAGTGACAGTGATAATCAGCAGCAAAGGAAGTTGGTCTGGAAACTCTGTCAGAGGAATGGCTTCTTGTTGTTCAGCTCCTCAAGTCAAAGACAAACGATGCTGTGTGAATACTTGCTGCTTTGTTGTTGCTGCTTTTCACTTGACCTGAAAAAATCGCTACCAGCCTTTACAAAGTTTCTTCACAGTTACTTCAGAATCCGGAAATTCTTGTTAATGTATTTGTTTAAATAAAAAATACGGCAATTATCTTGATTAGCTCATTGAGATGGTATCACTGTGCGTTAATTCAATTTCCCTCTGAGCCAGACTCAAACCTTCTATGCATTATTTAGCCCAGATGAGGCTCTTTCGCTTAGGTCCTTTGTGCGTCCAATTAGTTTCGAAGGTCACCTCCTCCCGTACAGCAAGAAATACTCACACATGGCTGCAGCCAAGCCCAGAAATTGAAAACCTTTTCATAGACTGAAAAGAAGTCACTCACAGCTGCGTGGAGGGCAAAGGATCTCATGGAGCCAGATCTGCAGATAGGCGGTAAGGGGGGCTTTGACCCCTAAGGCAGGATGCTGTTTTACAAAGAACCGAACTCTGCCAAACCTCACACACTGTAATGGGTGGAAGGTAGAAGCCAGCTGGCCTGAGCATGCAGGAGGACCTTGGATGGCTTCCCAAGGACCCCAGGACTCAGCAGAGGTCCCACCCCTGCACCAGCAGTGCTTGCTGCCCTGGTCTGGGCAACTGGGGTACCAGAACTGGGCATCATGGTCAGCATCTACCCCACGGTGAGGTGCAGGCTTGGTCTGCCTTGTAGTTGCCATAAAGACTTTGCATTTTTCTCCCTCTTAGTCAAAAACAGAGGTAAATAACGCTTATTACCTT